AAACATATTATTTGTCTTTCTGAGCCTGGCTTATTTTGCTTAACATAATGCACTTTAGTTTCATTCATTTTCCTGCAAATGTCATAATTCTGTTTCTTATGACTGAATAAAATACCTTATGTATGTATAAGTGTGTGTATGAATGTTGTTTCAATAATTCGGCTACTGTGAATTGTACTGTTATAAACATGGGGATGTATGCATCTCTGAAGTATCCTCTCTAATTCTTTTGGATAGATATAATTTTTAGTTTTTGAGGAAAATGCATACTGATTTGGTTGTACTAATTTATACTTCCACCAACAGAAAAGGTTCATTTTCCCTGCATGTTGGCCAGCATTGTTATTTGCATTGTTTTAAAAATATTATTGGTACATCATAATTATATATAGTAGTGGGAATCATTGTTATATATTCATACAGGCACACAATGTTATTGTATTCTTTTTTTTAAATTTTTAAATACTTATTTTTCAGTTTTCGGCGGATACAACATCTTTATTTTATTTGTATGTGGTGCTGAGGATTGAACCCAGCGCCCCGCGCAAGCCAGGCGAGCGCGCTACCGCTTGAGCCACATCCCCAGCCTGTTATTGTATTCTTGATGATTGCCATTCTGACTAGAATGAAGTGGAATTTCAGTGCAGTTTTGATTTGAATTCCCTGATGGCTTGAGAAGTCGAACATCTTTTCATACAATTCTTGGCCATCTGTACTCTTCTTTTGAGGGGTAGTTCATTCACCCATAAGTGAACATAAGGTTTTTTTTCTTTTTTTCTGGTGTTGAGTTGAGTTCTTTTTTTCTCACATTTAAAAAAATTACAAATAGATCTTTGTGAACAGCTTTTATCATTAGTTGCTCACAAAAATAATTATGTATTTCACTACTGAAATAGAATCTACTAAGTTCTCCATGTTGTAATGCTAGAAACATTTGTATTTTTCCCCTCCCAGACAATGTAATTTGCTCTGCTACTAATTTGTTTACATCATCAGCAATGTTTTTTTTTTATGTTGCATCCAACTGTATGTGCTGATGAAGGATTATGTTTGCTTTTTTGACACATTGTTTTCTACTAATTTTACCAGGCAGAAAGAACAAATGTTTCCCCAAGAAACCTTAAGAGAGGCATCTAAGCATCTGTAATATTTAGTAAAATCTGTTAGATAGAATACCATATAAGTAAACATTTCTAAAAGAGCTATAAATGTTATCTTCACATTCTGAATGCTTAGAACTTTTGCTAAATGGGATAGTTTCAGAATATCATTAGCTAATATTTCAAGGCACAGTATAATTATGCCTTAAGGAAAGTAGCAACTACCTCTGTTTTTATGGAGCAAAAAGAAGGCACAGATGATAATATGTGGCTGTCTTCCAATAAAATTATTTATAAAAACAGCCAGAGAACCAGATTTGGACATAATTTGTGAAGTCCTGTTTTTTTGTTTGTTTGATTTTTTTATATCTTTATTTTATTTATTTTTATGTGATGCTGAAGATCAAACCCAGTGCCTCACTTGTGCTAAGCGAGCACTCTACCACTGAGCCCCAGCCCCAGCCTATGAAGTCCTGGTTTTAAATTAACATTTCTAAGATGTATTATGGAAGGTAAAACACTAATGTATATAAGCCCTCTGAGCATACAGATACTCAGTTTTGTGATGAGTAGCTCTAGCTGACACTTGTTTCAAAGTATGCTGCCTTACAATTATTTTGGTTTTAGCTTTCTGGACTCCTGGAGCAACAATTCTTCAAATTCTTGGTCATAGTCCAGTTTTTTAGACTCTTAAAATGTACCGAGAATGTAGAGAGCCTTTGATTATGTGGACTGTGTTTATCATATCATAAATTTAAGCTAAGAAATTACTTAGACATATTAATGTATTTCAAAATAATCAGTTATGTATTATGCAAATATAACCATAAAAATGCAAGCGATATTTTCTAAAACAATATCTGGCTATGTGCACTCACATATACACGCACACACACACTTTTTTTCTGTAGTGCTGGGTTTGAACCCAGGACCTCGGGCATGCTAGGCAACCACCATACCACAGAGCTATATCTACAGACAACACATAGTATACAACTGGAAAACGGAGGAGTATGTTAATATTTTCAGATAATAGTGAGTATTCTTCCTTGATATCACACCAAGATTAGTGGTAGCCAGGACTGGGAATGAGTGGGGTAGAGGGGAAAATGGTGACTGACTGCTAATGGGCATAGATTTCTTTTTTCAAGTAAGGAAAATGTTCTAAAATTATATTGTAATGGTTATATAACTCTGTAAATATTTTTAAATTGTACACTTAAGTGAATTTTATGATATATCTCAAAATAAAGCTGTTTAACAAAAAAGAAAGAAAACCAAGGTAGCTGGAGTTGAGAAAGGGTAAGAAACAGGAGATTAGACTGGTGTCACAGGCAGAGCATTTAAGTCAAGTTTAAGACTGGAGTGTTTCCTAAGAGCACTGGGAAGGCATAAAGAGTTTTAAAATAAGGGAAGGAAAAAAATATCACATCAAAAGTAGTTATTAAAAGTTATTCCAACCTGGAATCTGAAACTGCATCAATGCACTTTTCATGCTGTACCATATTAATATCCATTGGTCCATCTTGCACTTTGAATATTTTATGCATGATTTTGTAACAGGCAAGCATTGATCAATTGGAAAATATTGATTCACTGAATTATGCAGATCTTCCAAAATGTTAAAGACACTCCATTATATGTGTGTGTGTGTGTATGTATATATATATATATATATATATATATATATATATATATATATATGCATATATATTTTTTAAATATGGAATGCTTCACGAATTTGTGTGTCGTCCTTGTGCAGGAGCCATGCTAATCTTCTCTGTACCATTCCAATTTTAGTATATGCACTGCTGAAAAGAGTACTATACTCTTCATTTTCAAGTAACATTTGTACTTTCTGATGTCATCAGAAATTCTTTAAATACTGAGAAGTTGTCAAGATCATGGCAGCAGATATAAGTCTTCCAAATTTCTACTTTTCACTCAGAAAACAGATAATTTTATAATTTGCAACAAATATTTATCTGTTCTTCTCCTTGAAGTGACATGATAACTGTTGTTTATTTTGAAGAAAATGTATGCAAATACCCAAGTCTGCATATCCAGGGCTACTAATCATTCTTTCAAGTATAAATGGAGTAACATGAAATAAGTGTTAATTCAATTTACAGCTCACTGTATAGTGTTTTTGCTTAAGATAATCACTGTCCTTCAGTATGTATCATATTCCATACATACATTCTACTTTATCATACAGAATAGTTAAAAAGCATGTATTTAATGATCAAGATTTAATAAAATTAATCAGTTGTATTGTTTTCTTGGTAAAGCACTATCTTTTTTGGCGGGGGTGGGGGTTATAGGGGATTGAACTCAGGGGTACTTGACCACTGAGCCACATCCCAGGACCTATTTTGATTTCTTCTTTTTGGGTAATGGGGATTGAACTCTGGGGCACTCAATCACTGAGTCACATCCCCAGCCCTATTTTGTTTTTTATTTAAAGAGAGGGCCTCACTGAGTTGCATCATTTTTTGCTGAGGCTGGCTTTGAATTCACAATCCTCCTGTCTCATTCTCCTGAGCCACTGGGATTCCAGGCATGGGCAACCATGCCCAGATAGTGGCTTTTACTTAAGGTCTCTGAAAATCCAACTAGCTTTGGGCTGGGGTTATGGCTCAATGGTAGAGCGCTTTTTGCACTTGCAAGGCCCTGGATTTGATCCTCAGCACCACATATAAATAAATAAAGAAAGAAAGAAAGAAAGAAAGTTATATGTGTAAAAAGCTTCACGTGAAAATAATATTCTTTTAAAAAAAAAATGCAACTAGCAGGGGCTGGGGTTGTAGTTGAAGGCTTCCCTTGCATGCGTGAGGCACTGAATTCAATCTTCAGCACCACATAAAAAAAATAAAGATAGTGTGTGCATCTATGGCTAAAAAATATTTTAAATAAGTGTAACTAGCAATTTTCTTCTCTTTTTAAATTGTGAATAAATGGCAGTAAAGAATAAAATGATATAATGACATTTGACTATTCGTAGTTTAGTACCATTGCCTTGATTCAGAGTAAAGAGTTGTTTTTATCTATTATTCCTTTTGTACCATTAGTGTAAGTCATCAACACAGTAAATACTATCGTAATTACTATGAAAATAATTCTGTCTTCAAGGATCCAACGAAAGGGTTACTGGGACCCCTTTCCAAGGATTCACTGAGAACTAGTACTGCATTAGAGAAATTGAAAAAGCATTACTTACTAGATCTTGGGCAACTCCCTATCCATACTGCGGTTTGAATGGAGGGGTACGAGCACTCTACCACTATGGCCTTTGTATTTTTAAATTTTGAGATAGGATTTTGCTAAGTTGCCAAAGCTGATCTCAAACTTTTTCTTCTTCTTCTTCTTCTTTTTTTTTTTTTGTTTTGGTACCAGGGATTGAACTTAGAGGCACTTAACCACTGAGCCACATCCCCAGCCCTATTTTTTGTATTTTACTTAGAGACAGGGTCTCATTGAGTTGCTTAGAGCCTCACCTTTGCTGAGGCTGGCTTTGAATTTGCAATCCTCCAGTCTCAAGACTCCCAAGCTGTTGGGATTACAGGTGTGCACCACCGTGCCCGGGTGGTCTCAAACTTCTATCCTCCTGCCTCAGCCTTCCAAGTAGCTGGGATTACAGATATGTACCACCATGCCTGGCTGATTTTGGGCAATTTGCTAAACTCTTTTTATTGAGCTATATGGGGAAAAAATGATGTCATTTTCCTTCAGAGTTGTTCATCAGAATTAAGGGATGTTAAACTATTTTGTACATTGTATAGCATCATAAAAATGTAGCATCTAATTAATAATGCAAGATATTAGGATTTCAGTGGATACTGACTTCATATTAAACAACCTTGTAGTAACCAAATTTTATACATTTTTCTTTCTTCCTTTTTTTTTTTTTTTTAATTATGCCAATGCCGACTATATTGAAAGTTGTCATGATGGGGTACTGGAAAAGTTTTCAATTAGCAATAGTTGTGCCTCAGATGGACTTCGTTGGCTTCAATACTGCCACTGCACAAAGCTAATTTTATACATTTTGCTTCTGATGTTTTTCTTACTAGCCATATTTATACTTCTACCTTAATTCAGACTCTTATAATCAATCACACATGCAACACTGATTCATTAATCATAAATATTGCTGCCAGCTAAACATATCCAAGTTTTTATTATAACCTCACCCTACCCTGACCTGTCAAGCTTTTCCTGTGTCTGAATATACTCAATTGGTTTATCTGAATAAAATCTAATTGAGCTCCCCTTGTTTCTTTCCTTCTAAAATTGGCCTCCTCACATCTACTTACTGAAATCCTATCCCATCCTTAATAAAAATCCAAATAAGTCCATCTTTTCTGGCTATCCAAGGAGAATAACCTTTCTTCTCTGAATATCTAGCACTTAATGTGGTATGTTACCAGATATCTTCCTTTTGTTTGCTTTCCTTACCAAACTGAAATGTCTCTGAGGGTAAGAGCATCTTATATTTCTCCTTATTCCTCTAAGCATCTACCAGCACAATGCATTCTGCCTGGCTAATGAATTTGTGTGACCTTTACCAGAAACTAGCATCAATGAGGCACTTACCTTCATATTCAAATAAAGATTTTGAAAACAATGATAGCTTAATCTGCTTTATAGACTTAAGCTCTCTACCTCTTGTCATATATAGTTTCTGAACAAAGTTTTATCTAGACTTCCTAAAATGACAAGGGAAGGTAATAAACAACATAGTTTAACATGAAATTTTTGCCAGGCGTGGTGGCGCATGCCTGTAATCCCAGCAGCTCAGGAGGCTGAGGCAGGAGGATCATGTGTTCAAAGCCAGCCTCAGCAAAAGTGAGGTGCTAAGCAACTCAGTGAGAACCTGTCTCTAAATAAAATACAAAACAGGGTTGTGGACGTGTCTCAGTGGTTGAGTGACCATGAGTTCAATCCCCAGTACCAAAAAAAAAAAAAGCTACTTTTACTCTCTGGGCAAATATCGTTACTTTTCAAAGTGCCCAAGATGTGGCTCTGAGAGGAAAATGAAGATATGGTAATATATATATTAAAGTGTATAAGTAAACCTAAAATGTTTCTTTATAAGGAATGGTAATGAATCTAAATAACAGCAACTAAAAGGCAGTACTTTTAGGTGATACAAAGAACATGGGTTTTTGGCATTAGAACAAGCTGAGTTCAAATCCTAGTACAAAAATTGTATGAAACAAATGAAAATACAAAGGTGATCAGGCTTTGAAGTCCTTAACTGTAAATGGCACTGTTACTATCTGTCTGGAAGTTTTTGTGAGGATTAGATAGGACAGTAGAAATACAGACACTGAACTTAGATGGGCCTGGGTTAGAACTGATCACCTTTCATAGTTTAGGTAATTAAGTCTCAGGTTTCTCATTTGTAAAATAGGTTTGAATCCATCTCTTCAGTGTTGTTGTGAGAATAAATAATGAATATAAAGCATTAAAAAATGTCTATAAAGTCTTAAAAGTGCATCTACTAAGTGCTCAATAATTTGTCCTCACGAGATATACAGGTAAATATATTCATACATATATACCCATTTCACCTTGCATAATTCTGGATGTATTACACTTTATAAATGTCCACTATTATAATTACTTCCTAACATAAATTTCAGAATGATAGTTATAAACTTTGAGCTGAATTTTACATCCTGTTACATCTAATTGGTATATAATTAATCAGAGATTAATGACAGCTCATTAATTATTCCAATTATAAAATTTTCAGGACAAATCAGGGAGGAGAAACAGAATTAAATAGAAATACTTACTAATAGAAAGCCTAAGAACAAGAAAATAATGGGGGGGATGTACATCTATACTAGGCACATGAACTATTTACTCTGTAAACACACAATCTGTTGTTATACTTTTATTTGTTAAAGCAAGTAATTTATTATTCATTTTTCTGCCCAAAGCAAAGTCAGACATAAATTTAATTATTTCCCATAACCATCCTTTTATTTCAAGCCATTCCACCTACAGCTATCTTGGCTCTATACCAATTTCACTGGGTTACAGTGGGAGAACTGATCTCACCAATTCTTCAAAGACATTCTGAAACTGCAAGCATTAAGGAACTATAGGAACAATTTTATACTACTATTCCATGGGGCTGGAGCTGCTGCATGCTAGCTTCTTAAAACCACTTACCTCTCTGCAGTTGTCACCACTCCCCCAAATGGGTAATGCATGGTTAAAAAAGGGTGGGTGGAGTAGTGGCAATTCAATGCACAAAAAGAAATTCAACAAGTCTCCCTCACAGCAGAAGGAACAATGTTAAGAGCTTCTTGTTTATTCTGCCGAATTCCAAACCAGATAAGTCAAGTAAATTTGGGCCAGTTCTAAAACCAGCAACTGAAAAATAAGATTTCAGGCAGGTAACATTTATGGGGTATTACATTTCTATTTTGGAAAACTTCACATCCAAAACAATGTATTCATCCAAACCTTTTAATAACTTATTTTCCTAAGCAATGAACACTTGGTTAAATAAAACCAAACTGTCTAATAAGGGAGACGATTAGGTTTCCACCATGACAGAAATCTATTTTAACACTTAATACCACTGGACAAGTCTCCTAAGTATTTACAAGTACACTATCAACAAAGGAAATACAACTCTATTTTTGAATAAGGGATAATATATAAATATAGATCTTACTCATACAAAAGGTGTTCAAGTCATGAATTATATAAATTATGTTTGATGTAATGAATATTTACTAATACCGGCAATATTTAAAATATTTAGTGACACATCTTCTCTTTAAAAAAACAAACAAAAAATAATAATAATGATAAAATAACCCAACAAACTTTCACCATCCACCCACTATGATTAATTCAGATTTACAGAGTTTCCTTAAATTGAAGATACACATAAAATCTTATGAAACAGGAAAGCATCATTTTCATGTAACTGTCTTTATTAAAACCTTACATCTAATTTCATACGCTCCCAAACTTACCTTTTCATTTTTCTTGTCTGTCTCTGGTTGCTGCTTTGTTGTTACATTTCTAGGAGTTCGTACAATTTCATCCTCAGCCACTTCCACAGTTCGACCATTTGGCTGCATAGGCAACAAGAAAACATCATGTATCAAGCTGGTTGGCAGATCAAACCAAAGACTTAGGAAACAATGTTATCAATGAATACTACAATCAAAATATGGTCCCCTACCTAAATTAACAAGGTTGCTTTATTATATAGCAAAATTATTGAAGACTTGATGGACCACTGTCCCTAATAACAGTCTTATGTAACTATAATGAACTTATAAACAAAATTATATACCAAAAATTTTCTGATCTCACTCAGGTATCAGCCCCTCCAAACAACAAAATAGAGGCACTGAAAAAATCTAAACTACATTTGTACCATAACCACCAGTTAGCCATGTAATCAAAACATCTGAGCCTTATTTCTATTTCTATAAAATGACACGTTTGAGCTACTAAAAAGTCACCACCCCCACCCCCACCCCGCCTCTTGGTACTGCGGACTGAACCCCAGGGTACTTTACCACTGAACTAAGTATCTCCTCCACCCCCCACAGGGTCTAAGTTTCTTAGAGCCTAAATTGCTGAGTTTGGCATCAAACTTTGCAATCCTCCTGCCTCAGCCTCTTGAGTCACTGAGATTACAGGTATGTGTCACCATGCTCAGCTCACAAAGCTTTTTAAAAGGCCAGAGAAAATATTTTAGGCTTTGTAGGCCATACAGACTCCACTTCAACAGAGTTCAATAACTCTTCCACTGTAGCACAAAAACAGCCTCAGATGATATATAAAGGAATGTTAGACAATCTCTAATATTACCTCTAATTATATAATTTAATGGCTCTACTGTTTTGGAATTAAGCAGATTTACCAATTCATCGCCAAAGGCTACCTCAGCTTTCCTAACATTCCTAAAATCATAAATAGCACTTAGAGGTATTCATGAGTAGAATAATGACTTGATGCCCAAATCCAGCTTTTTTTTTTCTTTTCAAATAAATATTTCTGAGCCCCATCAACGGAAATGCATATAGATTGATAAGTCTGAAGAATGGAGCCAAGGTATTCTTAACCTTCTTTCTGAATCCTATCACTTCTTGTCACTTGTACATTCCCCTCATATTCAACAATATAGTAAATCAACACACTAGTTTTAAAGACTACTTCCAGGAGCTGAGGTTGTGGCTCAGCAATAGAGGGCTCTCCTAGCATGTGTGAGACCCTGGATTCAATCTTCAACACTACATAAAAATTAATAAATAAAGGTATTGTGTCCAACTACAATAAGTTTATTATACAAACTAATATTTATATTAAAAAATAAATATTTTTTAAAAAGCTTTACTTCCAGTTCTTGAATTAAAAAAAAAAATTAATTGTAGATGGACACAGTATCTTCATTTTTTTTTTTTTTAAATGTGGTGATGAGAATTGAACCCAGTGCTTCATACATGCTAGGCAAGAGCTCTACCACTGAGCCATAAACGCAGCCCACAGAATAGAATTTGCTAGAATGCCTATCCTTATAACATAGCTACACTCAACAAAACAGTATGAATGTTCTAAGTGATTTTTATCTGGATTTGTTAAAAAAAAATCATGGATGTGGTTGTAGAAAAGAGACCATTTATATTTTGAAACTCAATTTGTAGGCTTTTCAAAGATTAGTGGCATAAAAACCAAAACAAAAAGCTGTCTTTTAGGTGATTAAACTCCTTTTTTTTTTTTTTTTTTTTTAAAAAGAGAGGGGGGAGAGAGAGAGAGAGAGAGAGAGAATTTTTTAATTTTTATTTTTTAGTTCTCGGCGGACACAACATCTTTGTTTGTATGTGGTGCTGAGGATCGAACCCGGGCCGCAAGCACGCCAGGCGAGCACGCTACCGCTTGAGCCACATCCCCAGCCCCGTGATTAAACTCCTAATGAATCAAAATTTAATCTGCCAGGTCTTAAGCAACTTGTTAAGTCAGACTGCTAATACCACAATCAGATTTCCTCACAATTGATTTGGTTTTCTTTCTTTTGTTTTGCTTTGCCACTTTAATGTTGCCGCCTCTAATCTATCTTTCTGTATCTGTGTTTATCCACAGAGTGGAGAGAGAGAGTGTGCATGAAGAAAAGGGATAAGAAACCTTAGTAAGGCAGGTGAACTTATGGATGGATCTGTATCAGGAATTTAAAGCTGTTTAATTCTACTTTCCAATATCACCATATTACTTGTCTAGTCTCATGTGCTGTTTTTTTTTTTCTTTTCTTTTCTATTCAGTAGAGGTAGGGTCTTACAGTGTTGCCTAGGCTGACCTCAAACAATCCTCATGCCTCAGTTTCCCAAGCACTGTCACACCCAGCTATCAGGCTATTCTTAGTTTATACTATCCTCTATAGCCAAACTTTTCTGATATCCTGTGGTTAGCCTCACCTAAGTAAGTCTTAAACTAATTGAATGATCTTGCAGCTACAATTCCACAACTTCTTATCTCTTCAACTAACAACTCACAAGGGTTACATCTGCAAAATTTCATTTAATTAATCCCTTCAGGAAACTGTCATGGACAGTTATATACCATCTCTATTTAACTCATATGAATGACTAGTAAGTCATTTAAATTTATTTATTAAAGCTAATTGATAAAAAAAATCAAGTGGTCAAAGATGTCTTTAAAACTTATACTATATATTTGAGACCAGCTGTAAACATTGTTGATGGAGTCTCCTAAATAAAAGATGAAGCAATCTTTCCTTTCAAACAAATTCAAGTCAGAAGTCCTCAATCAGTGATCAACAGTGCTCTTACAATTGGGAACATTCAGCTTCCATTTCATAGACTCTGAAATGATCACCAAACCAGAGGGTGTTCACATGCTCCTACAATATGCCAAGTTCAATTTTGTCTTGTCTTTGTAACATCAACCTATGTAATGTCTGTGTCTGCAGCTAGACCAGTTTGGGTCTAACACTGGTCTGTAATAGAGAGAAAAACTGGTCTATTACAGACCTCTATTTTCCACTAACCCTGGGGATTTATATAGTTCTCACCACTACTGGGATTCCCAAAGCCATTAACAACCCTCCCACACACCTGATTTTTTTAATTTTTAAAATTAAATACATTAAACAATAAGCTTCCTACCCCAAGACTAAAGCCCATAGAATTCTTGGATAGCAGGAACAAATAAACACTACAGTGGTTGTCCTATCAAATAGCAGCACCAATATATGTTCTTTTATTCTGCCACTAGCTGTTCCAGAGAAATTAACCATATTTAAATTAGCAGATTTCTAAATCAGAGCATATTATACAGATCTACTCACATGAAAAGGAAATAATTGCAAACCAACACTTACCTAATGTGTCTGCCCCTGTGACTGTCAATATGCATTTTATAAGAAAATATTGTTTTCTCTTCTCCTGGAGCTTTATATTTATTTACTGGATTTCTACAGATTAGCAATTACATGGGCCTCTCTTTATGACCTAGTTTTAAATTCTCTGGAGAGCTTTAAGGTGTTCCCCCCTCCAGAGTCAAAATTAATTTCATATGTAGTAAACAATCTGTATATTTAAACCAAAGAGGTCTTTTAAATTTTGTGAGAATCAACCAGTAACAATAAAATGATAAAACCATTTCATTTATATGGATAAACTCCTTAGAGGAATCACAATATAACTTATTGTTATAACCCCTCAACTCCCTCCTTGGATTCTTTTTTCAAATGCATGCACAGAAGAACATATTGTGTGTGTGTGCTAGCAGGGGTGGTAGTAAATCAGAACAAGAATACCTAGCTGACAACCAGAATGGAATGGACAAGGGGGCCACAAAATAGGAGAACTGTTTATTTTATTATTCCCATTTTCAAGGAAATAAAATTGTTCATGTTAATCAATCGACAGTTTATTAGTTTCATACAATTTCATAAATATTTAGTTAAGTAAGGGCTAGGGACTGTGGGAACAGGAACATATAAAAAGAATTTACCCTGAAGGAGTTTTAAGGTTCAGGATGACAAGGTATGTTTAATAATAGACTTTTACTTCATTTGAGACTTTACTTGTAGTAAAACTGATTTTAAATTGCAAAAGAAATCTATATTGGAGGCAAGAATTTAAAAGATTTAATATTAGACTTCTAAAATGAAATCATGTGGAACCCTATTTTCACTTAGTTAAGTAAATTTTATTTCTAGTCACAAAATGTAAAGATCATAAATTACTTCTTAGGTTTAAAAATTAGAAGGGTGGTCTACCAACTACCCACAACACACACACACACACACACAAAAGAAAGGAATATGAAAAGACCAGGGGTTTTAGAATTGGACAAACCTGGGATCAAGGCCCAACATCTATGGTTAATCACTGTGATTTTAAGCATTTCCCTTGACTTAATCCTTGATTTCAACATTTAGTAAATATGAGATGTACTTGACTTACAGATTTCTCACCAAATGAGAGCCCATGTGAAAGCATACTTGCTCAAGAAATAGTTTCTTTCCTTCTAATATCTTTTATTCTGCAAAGCTATAATGGTCCACATCCTCTAACCTCATGTTCAAGTATTAAGGTCACTTTTATACTAGTAAGTTCAAAATAAATGTTAAGTCCTGGTGGTCAAAAGGGCGTGGATATGCACCTGTCAAGCCCAATGCTGCAGAAACAAATTCTTTTGGTAAGTTAATAGACTACAAATGATAAGAAACTATATCTTCTCAGAGGCTGAAAATAGTTTAGGCTTGTTCTATAGACAGCACTGTTATCTTTTAAAAACAGTGCTTAGAGTCTGTTGCAATGGCACGTACCTATAATCCCAGTGGCTTGGGTCGCTGAAGTAGGAGAGTCACAAGTCTGAGGGCAGCCTCAGCAACTTAGCAAGGCCTTAAACAACTTAGTAAGACCCCACCTCAAACAAACAAACAAACAAGCAAACAAATAGGGCTACAGATGTATTTCAGTGGTAAAATCACCCAGTATAGGGTTCAATCCCCCAGTACTCCAAAACAACAATAACAGCAACAACAACAAACCATTGCTTATATAGTTCTATTGTTTTCTAAAACAAAAAATCACAAACT